CTTACCTCTGGGCAGTTGATAATCAGGAAACTGTGTCGAGGGGAAGAAAGAGGCTGCCCACCTTGTGCCCTGGAACAGGTAACAGCCTGGCAAGGGTGCCAACCCAAGACCAATCAATCTGTTTTGCTTTTCTTGGTTCCTAAGTGGCCATTTAGAGGACAACAAGCAATACCCAAGCAAAGGGTCTGTGAAGGTGTGAAGTCTGGAATTTTACTCTCCCTCTCCACAGTGGAGAAACAACCTACAATTTAACACCCCTTTTTCTAGCAAGGCATTTAAGGATAGGCATCTCCATTTCCATAAAAAACACAAACCCCCTCACTTTAAAGTGTTCTTAAGCCCATCTCATCCTGCCCCAAGCTGCCCTCTAGATGTGGGAGGCAATGCTGGGAAGGTGGCATGAGGAGATAGAGAGGGGGTGGGGAGAAGCTGCTCCACATCCATCACACAGACCAGCTGAAGCTACCCAGTCAAAATAGCCAGCCAATTCCTTCCCTGACACACAAGCTTTTCAGTCTTTTCAACAGACTGGAAGAACTGCTCCTTTCCTCACACCCTCACCATGTTCTAGTTGTTAAGCTGTAGGAAAGGGATGAAGGACAGAGACAAGACCAGGCCAGCAGGAGCATGCTCAGGAAGGCATGGTGGCTCTCTGACCTGCTTACCGCTACTCCAGACACCTGCACGTCAATTAGAGCATGCAACACTGAGCCCGACTGAACAGTCAGCATCTTGTGGTGTCCAAAATCAAGTTGGCTAACTGGGATCAGCCCCTGATCTGTGCTGAGCACTATCTAGGCTCACAATGCTTTCTGCTCCCTCTTTACCTCTTCTCAAGAGCCTTGGAGCATGATGATGCTCAAATAAAACCCACATAAGGAACAACTGACCATTATTAAAAGAGAATACAAAGAACCAGGTAATTAAGCTAGGACCTGAACAGTGGTTTTATTCTGCCGATGTCAGGTAAAATCTCTGAGACGTCTCCCATAGCCTTGAAGCTGCTGTCAGAGTTTCTTAATAGCCACCACAGGTGTATGTATAACTCTGGCAATATTACCTACAGCCACAGTGGAGCCTTTCTGAGCCAGGCTGGTACTCTTGGTGATACAAGTGGTCTGAAACTCCCTGTGAGCAAAGAGGCTCAGATGCTGCCTCTTCCTTGGCCTCTTGCCCTCACTCCTTGTGTGCCGAGCTCTGGCTGGCCGCCCCTCCTCAGAAATGGGCCTCACATCCAGGACTCCCCCCCAGACTCCCCTCAGTTTAAGCACACCAAGCAGCTATTCTTCACAGGCAAGAGATTACTGGGACAGATTAAATGCTTTGTTGAGGCAAGCTAATCCAAGCAAAAGAAGAGTTGCCTGTACCTACATGATGTTCTGCCTCTGTTTCCCAATTTCTCTTGTTCAAGGTTTGGCACGCAGCCTTGCTGGGGTGCACTCTCACATACTTTCCTTAACCTGGTCAGCAAGGAAGAGTGACAAACAGCCGAGGTCAGCTTTCTGCAACTTCCAGCCCCATCTGCCAGCTGATTTGCCCAGTTGACTTCAAACCGCCACGAGGTGGTTGGGGCCCCACGAGCGTACGGTTTGTCAGCCAGTTCTGAGCCCAGCCGTTATGCTTTCCCAGGTAAAAACATTTTTACTTATTTCTTTATGCACCAACTCGTCACTGAGATGGAAAACAATTAAAGAACCGGGCTCATGTGCTCCCGCCACGGTAGAGAGGAGCACCGGCTCCTGCCCGCGCACACGAGCGAGGAAGAGGAGGAGGAGGAGAGGGCTTATGCTCATTTTGAGCGTCTCGCGAGCAGAGCGGGCAGCCCGATACCACCGGGTGACTCTGGGGCCGCGGCCGAGCGAGGGCACCAGGAGCCCGATCGCCGGGATGAGCAGGGCCCGCCCGCAAGACGCCGCGGCCGCCACCCG